GTACAGGTATTTTTTAAATTTTAAGTACAATGTAAAAACATGTATGTACACAATAAGTGCATTGTATCAAATCATTAGTTTAAATCTAAGTACATAATAGTTTCCAACTAATATAAAGTTGAACCTGTAATTTAATTACCAAATAAGGTAACTCTTTATTTTAAGATGTCCTTGTTACACGTTATATGTACTTACTATTATAATAACAATAAATTATGCTAATCATAAAGTAAGTACATGTAGTTAATTAATATTATTCAGTACTTAAATGTATAATTACACTGTAACAAGGACACCTTAAAATAAAATGTAACCCAAAATAAATGTAATTGTAATCAGTTACAGTTACTGAGAAAAAAAGTGTAATTAAATTACAGTAACTTCTGAAAATGTTTAACCATTACAAAAGGGGTTACATCTGAATAGTTTCACACACATACAGATTTAATTGATTTCTTTCCTAAAATGCACTGACTGCTCTAAAATATGAGACACCAATGTTTCAGGAGTTTAGGACACATGCTTATTCCATAACTGTTTTATGTATATGCTTTATTTTTTAAGATTAAAATTTTTTTCCAAGGCATTGTTAGACAGCAGTGTTACCTGTCATAGCTACGCAAAGATTTGATTTCAAAAACAGTATCATAGCTATTAAACTATTTATTGTTATGGTTTTAAAACGGTATTTAACGTCAGAATGATCTCAAAGTAAAAAGAGGTGCTAAAGTCTGATTTTGTGGTGGCTGTGCTTAAAAATTAAATGATTATAATCATAATTCAAGTGATGAAGTATTTTGAAAGTCTGACGTTACGGTTAACCCTGCTTGCTTTAATTGTTAATGTGATTAACAGTTGAAAACATTAGAAATTTAGAAAAGTATTTAAAAAGTAATCAAATGTAATCAGTTACATTACTTTAATGAAGTAATTGAAATAGTTACACTACTTGTTACATTTTAAATTGAGTAACTTGTAATCTGTAACCTGTTACATTTCCAAAGTAACCTTCCCAACACTGTTGATGGTTTAGGGTTTTTATCCAGTAAAAGCTCTTTTAGTGTAGCTCTTGTAGAAACATCCAGCTTCTTGTGCTTCACATGTCTTTTTTCTATCAAATCTTGACTGGTTTTGATCAAGTAAAGGTCAGAATAAGTGCAGTAATATCTCCAGATGAACACTTACTGCACTGAAGCAGCTCAGCTTTACTTGATTCTCCATCAATCATGTTTTAGAGTCTCAAATCTGATCCTCAGGATCTTTTGAGGAGCGTTTGTTTCCAGAAGCTTTACTTTCACTGTTCCTCAGCGGAGGACTGATCTTCACAAGCCTCCAGAACATCTCACATCTTCTGAGGAGCCTTTATTTCTTCAGCTCTCAATCACTGCATTATATTATCATTATCATTGCAAAAAATGTGTTTATGTATATACATTCTGTTTATG